AAAAAATTTTAAACATAGTACTTTGGATGAAAGAATATCCGCGCACAAACAATTGCCAATAATCAAGGGTACTGCTTCAAATTTTCCCTTTATCGTACTAAAATTTAATGGGCTACATAACTGCATACGCAAGACAATTCCAGAAAATCTGATTAAAATGTTTTAAATTTTTATCAACATATGTTAAAATTCGTCGAATGTTTATAAATGTTCTACAACGTTTTAAATTTTGACTAACTTGTTTTTTTTAGATAGTAAGTTATATTTTTATAAAAAAAAATAATAAACATTTCTTAAACAAAGGAAAGTAACCAAAACTTGCTAAAATTAAAATGTATTTTCCTTAATTACATTCTCACCACCGTATAAATTGCGTGTATATATTTTTGCGATTTTTTTTTTAATTTTTTTCTCTTTTTTTGTTTTAAATAAAACTGTATTAAAATAGTTTATGTCTCTTTATTCTAAAAACAAAATTCTTTGTTCGGATTCGATGATTTAGAAATGTCCCGATTTTGGTCACAGAAATCTGGTCACCGTATGTATATGTGCATAAGGAATACCGTTTAATAATCTACCCCGCAAATATTATAATTCGTGCGAGTAAACGTATTAGATGAATGCGTAGGGTGCCGCGGCACGTATACGTTATATACGCAACTACGGGTATATGAGCATGAGTGGCTATTTTTAGTTTTTTAGTATATATTTTTCAAATTTTCATTTAAATATAGCTTCGCATTGAAATCTTATTCTTTATACAAAACTGAAGATAATTCATTTCCTAAGATAAGTGTGCCTCCATTTTCGACCAAAACCACGTTTTTTTCGAAAAATGTAACAACTCGAGAGATTTGCTCATATGAAACCGAATCTAAACAACAATCGACTGTAAAATACATTTCCATTAAGATTAGTAATCATTAATTTTTTTGCAGTTTTTAATTTTAATAATTATTTTAATTTTCTACATAACCCAGCCATTAATAATTAATAATTAATTATAATTATCGAAAATAATCATGATTAATTGCCATTAAAAAAATTATCAAAAATAATTAAATAATTCGAAATAATCAAAACTAATCAATTTTTTTTTAATTATTTGATTATTTTTAATGGTTTGATAATTTTTAATTATTTGATTATTTTTAATAATTTGATTGTTTTTAATTATTTGATTCATTAACCACAGAAATTACATTCCCGAGCATTGTATATTGTACCATTGTATATTATTCAAAAGTTGAAAAAAAAATAAAAACAAAAAAATAAATAATGAAATAATTATATTAATCGTATAATTGAAAAAATTAAAAACAATTGAAAATAATCAAATAATTATTAATCATGCAATTACAAAAATCAAAAGTAATTGAAAATAATCAAATAATTATATTAATCATGTAATTAAATAATTTCAAAAGTAATTGAAAATAATCGAAAATTAAAAAATAATTATGTAATTAAAACTAATTAATTGATTAATTGAACTTTTTTTAAATTACTTAATTATTAATCATTAAAAAGGTGAAAATAATCGTATTTAATCATTAAAAATAACAAAATAGGTATGTAATTAAAATTAGTTAATTAATTAATTGAACTTTTTTTAAATTAATTAATTATTAATCATTAAAAAGGTGCAAATATCGTATTCAATCTTTAAATGGTTACCCAAAACAACATGCTTTAATTAATAATCATTATGATTATTAATCATTATTTAACAGATCTGAGTCAATGTAACCGCTCACACATCAGCTCGAACACAAACATTTTTGAGCATTCAAAACATCGAATTCTGGAGTCATCCGCCACATGGTTCAAATTTGGCAACCGCAGTTCAAAAATGAATTGCGAGTTCAAAGTTTATCGACGCCTGAAGGAACGGTTGATACGTTCAAAACACATGTTTTAGAATGAATGGGCACGTTCAGAAGGCGCAACAGCTCAGTAACTGTTGCGATTGCACCTTCTGAACGCGTTGTTTTGTACTTCTGATCAATTGAACAGTTGCGTGTTAGATGATCGTAAAATTTTTCTGATCATTTGAGACAACGTGTTGTGTGTTTTGAATTTGACAGCTAAGGTATCAAGCCGTTCAGAAGACGCATTACGATCATTGATGTTTTTAGCAACGGTTGCGCTCAACTTCTGCACCTTCTGAACCTATCCAATGTTTCAAGTACCTCTATACAACACGAATAACCCTGTTACGGCAAAACTTTAAATTAAAACTTAAGTAGCAACCCTCGTATAATTCATATAGATTTTGTATCTTACTCTTCCTTCTTTAAAAGCCTTCCATGGGATAAAGCTGTCTTTGGTCTTCAAGGGTTAAGGCAGTGTCACTGTTTGATGTATGACTTTTATTTTCCTAATATTTATTACTTAATAGCCACGCGCAATGGGGTATGCCACAAGAGAGAAAAAATAGTCTTAATAAAAAATAAAAGCGAAGCTGATAAAAAGTTATCTTTGCAGGCAGCTCTTATCAACGCTTTCAAGAGCTACATGCAACATTAGTATTATTACATAGCGACGTTACTGTAAATAAAAAATACTGGAAATAAAAAAATACAAAAACAACAAGTGCAACGAATATCTTCGAAAACTGTAAGTGTAAATACCTATATACGAATATACTTAAGTATGTATAGCATACGGAAAAATACTTGTGAAAACAAATTCAAGGAGAATAACCGAATCCAAGAAAAATAAAGAAATTGTATTTGTTTGGTGATGTAGTGTGGCGAGACACAAAAAATGCATATAAAAATTCGTTTCTTTATGCTTTAAGTGCCGCTGTGGGAGCGGGAGCGGCGATTAAGTGTTTCAGAATTTTCTTTTAAAATAATTTACATGCAAACATACACTCATTTTTTTCTGAAAATTTGAGTAGACAAAACTTTTTCTATGAAAAAGTATATTTACTTTTTTTTAGTTATTTCATCTTTTCGAAAGTGACTCATTAATAGCTGTCGCGCATAGCTACAAAGGTAAAGAAAAATGAAACAAGCGCAACAACAACAATAAAAATTATTCCTACTGCTATGCAGTATCATCAACAGTCAGAGACAGCTAGTGGGAGTAATGGCAGGAAAGAAAAATAAATAAATAAATGAATAAGAAAAATTCGCAACATTCGCGATTTAGATTGTCGTGTGTCATAAATTTGTGTTATGCTAAATTTGCGCTATGTCAAGGGAGACAAATAATTTTTATGAAGATTAAAAAACAAGAAAAAACAAGCACTGCGAAAATCAAAACGTAACAATATACCGCAAGCAAATACAAAAACTTTTAATCAAGTAACAAAAAAAAAACGTTGGGAAAACGGTGAGCGTTGTAAAAGAAGTTTTTTTGCCGTGAAGTGAATGCAAAAGTGCTAAACAACTGTATAACGAAATTTGTGAAAGTTCACAAAAACGATAATTAGAAAACACCTAGGAATTTAAGCTACTAAATTGCAAGTAAATTGAAATGGTGAAATCTATAAAAAAAAATAAAACCAAAAAAATTTCACTGGCAATTTAATTTTAAAATTACATGCACACATATGTATATATATACATATATGCATGTGTAGATACAAATGATTATATGCCTTAATCCATGTCAAATCAACCAATGGTTGGAATATACCATATTTGATTTGGCTGAATTTTTGTTAGAACTTTGCTATTATAACAAAATTCGGCCAAAGAAAAATAAATTTTTTTTTCGAAAGCTATGCAAAATTCTAAATTGTACATTTTTTCGGATTTCGCAAGTTTATTTTTTGGTTATCTTTTTAACTATTATACTTACGAAATTGGTCTCGTTTTAAATGTGACATTTGGGGTATAAAGAACAATAAAAAAAAATCGCAAAAAAAATAACAGAATTTGGATATTAAAAAATTCTACAAGCAAAAACTAAAAATATTGTTAGCTTAATTTTCATAGAATACGTAAAATTGATCTTAAAAGATCAAGGTGCTTTTTTAAAGATAAGCATTTTTGGACTTTTTGCAAACTCTAAATAAAAATTTGTTAAGCAGTTTTTATTTGATTTAAATTTATTTTTAATTTAGAGGTTGCAATATTTTTTTCAAAGTACAACATTTTCTTAAAAACATCAGGATCTTTTGAAATATGTTAACGGTATTGCATAAAAAAATTTAAACAAAAATTTATATAAGTAAGTTTTTGCTCTTATGATTTTTTTTTTTAATTTCAAAATTCTTTAACCGTATTAAAACAAAATGCAAAATCTAGGAAAATGTGAAGTTCTGAACTTAAAACATTTTTTTGCTTTGACAGTTTTTTTTTTTAATGAGAAAACAAAAGTTCTGACCAGGAATTCATCCAAATCAAAAATGTTCGATTCCTGTCATTGATCGATTTGACATGGATTGACTCATATTCACACGTATATTAGAGTGGTCCTTAAAATATCAACAACATAGGACACCTTTTTATTCTGTTCCACGCCAATATATCTACGAAAATTTCAAAATTTTAAACAAGTTTTTAGGGGTGGCTACCACGGTTTAAAAACTAAAACTTAAATTCGACAAATATTTGACTTTAATCAGCTATAACTAAGCGATTTTGTGAATTGGTTTAGTTTAGTTTAAGCGATTTTGTGAATTGGTATGAATAAGTTGCAATACGCTGTGTTTGTATGACTAAAAAGGAAAACGTCCAAAAATCTTTAAAAATAAAGTTTTATTTTGATAAAGTTTACTAAAACATTGAGACATTTTTAAGTATTACAACGAACACATTTAAATATAAGTTCAAACCCAAAAATAAGTTAAAGTTAATTTTATCTGAACTAATATGGAAAATAAAAAGATGAAATAAAATAGAAATACATGCATTGCTCCAAAAAAAAAAAGAGAAGAAAGTAGCAAACAGTTAATTATTTAAATTTTATTGTATTTGCACTGAACTCTTGCAATATAATAAAATTTAAAAAATATTATTTTCAACTTTTCCTGCTCCTTTTAGCAAATCAACAAAAAGTGGAACAAGAAAAATGTTTGTTTAGAAAAATTCATTCGCATTAACAAAGCATCGTCATATTTCAATTAAACAATTCAAAAGAGAACATATAAGTGCCGTTAGAGGAATGCAGAGATACAGTATGTGCGCGAAAATCTTACTCAAAATCAAATCATCGTTACTTATTGTGCGTTTAAGTGGTCAAACCACAACTATCGAATTTTGGAAGTGAGCCTTAATAAAAGTATAAACTTTAACATAAACTGATTTTTTTTTAATTATTTACAACAACAGCACAAAAATAACCCGTGACAATGTGGCTTGCGAAGCACTCGTTACGACAGCATTTCATGCAAAAACAATTACAAGACGGACACGCGGCCAAAGCTAAAAGCTGTGCAGTGGATAATGGGCAGCATGTGAGCAGTTAAAGCAAGAAATTTGCAACTAGAATAACCAACTATTGTGAAGAGGCGATAAAAAAATATTGAAAATCGTAATTTTTCTTAAACAATAATTTTTATAAATAATCGAAAAAAGAATCATTAACGCCTGAGTAAACATTATATAACTGTACGGTTTGCAAGCGAAAAACTGCGCAGCCAGTTAGGGTGCCAGTAAGTGAGACTGAGAGAGAGAGAGAGAGACAGACCCAGAGAGCGAGCGGATGAGAGTGAGTTAAATTAATAACTGATAAAAATAACGGTAAATAAAAAACGTGAATTGTTGTTGCCACACTTCGCCTGCAACTACGTCCGTGTATTCTGTGCGTCTTTTGTAGAGTTGCTACTAACTCTCCCACGGGCGGACGCCATGTATGCGCGAGTATTGCGCAAATGGAGTCTACACACGAAACCGCAAATGTCCATCATCATGTGGCGGCTACTGCTGCTCACCCTGTTGCTGCTCTGTCTGTGCGCATCGTCGGTCACATGCAACACCACCACCATCAACAGCATCACCAACACCAACACGAACACCAACAGCTTGCGTCTGAGTCGGCGGAGTACAGCACCTGTACCTGCGCCTGCAATTGCCTCCGCGTACATACCGCCTGCGACTGCCAATGCACCAGTAACAACAGCAGTAATGTCAACAGACAGAGTAAGCGCAGCAGCAGCAGGAGTAGCAGCAGCAGGAATAGCAGCAGCAGGAGTAGCAGCACCATTACAGCATCCTTCATCACCACTGCCACTCAGCCTTTCAGCAGCACCAGCGTCAACAGCAGCAGCAGCAACTGTTGGCGACATCATCGAAGAAAGCTATTACATACCAGTCGATGGCGACGACACAGATAGCAACATTTATGAAAGTCGTCTGGTGCGAGCGCTGGACGTCGGCAGTGTGTTGGGGGGTGGTAGTAGCGGAAGCGAAGGTGTACTGGGGGCGGCAGCATTAGGCGTCAGCAATAAGAATAGTTGGCGCATTAGCAATAGTTATAGCAGTGGCAGCAGCAGCAGCGATAGATTATTTAGTAGTAGTAGTAACGTAGTGAGTGGCAGCAGTAAAAGTGGGAGACAACAACAGCAAGTGCAACAGCGGGAAAAAGAACAGCAAGATAGGCAAGCGTCTGCAATTTATGCAGACAACATGGCGTATGCATATTATCGGCGCACGGCGCCACCAACACTTCACATTTCACCTAAATTAACACAAACATCCACAGAAACAAAACCCACAAAAACATCAACAACACCGACGATAAATGCAGCGCCAGAAACAGTATTTAGTCCACGATTCAGTGTGCAACATGTTGCAAACGATGAAAATGTTGCAGTCGATGATGATGACGAGCATGAAGAGGAAGAGCGGGCGGAGGATGAGGACGAAGAAGAAGAGTTGGTTGGCGTAGACGATGCCGACGCCAATGCTGACGTCGATGCCGACGCGGAGCATGAGGATGATACCGATAATGGGCATACACAACAACAGAAAGTTCCAAATACAAAAAATAGTCACATAATTAATTTATTTAAAGCATATACACATAACAACAACAACTACAATAATCGTTACTACAAATCGAATATAATCAATAAGCCACAACAACAACCCTATGCTGCAGGGAATACACAGCAGCAGCAGCAACAGCAACAACCAGTGTTCACTCACAGTGCCGAGGCAGTCGTACAACAGCATGCGACAGGCAGACGTAGCACGAAGGCACGTCGACATGTCTTCGACGAGCAGCGCCAACATCGACTCTCGCTGCAGCAGCAGCAACCACATCGAATGGCGTTACATCATGTTGCGGGGGCACCTCCTACGCCGTCGTCGTCCAGCAGCACGCCGCTGCCCATCTCCCATTATCCCACCAAGAAAGTGTTCCAACTGGTCAATGGCAAGAATTTGACGCGAATTGTGCACCTTTTGCCGCCTACACATTACCGCATTGCGGCCTACGAAATACCCTCGTCGCTGCCCTATCGAGGCGAACTGACCGAGCAGCAGCAGCGCATGCTGCAACATCAGCGGGAGCAGCTGCAACAAGATCAAGCGGCGCGTTCACGTCGCGACTCGCGCCTCTTTGGCATAGCGCAGGCCACTGGCTACTACAGTATACAACAGCAATCGCCGCACGTTTCTGCGTTAGGGCAACAATCGAGCGCACAACAACAATTTCAGCGTCTGCAGCAGAGTAACACCGCAGGCAATAGCGGCAGTTGGCAGCAAATAAGTGGCAGCATATTTCAACGGCAGCCGTTGTATCAACAGCAGCAGCAGCAGCTGCATCAGCGCCAACAACAACATCAACACATGCATAATCACCAACACAGCGTCAGCGATGGCAGTTTTGGCAGCAACAGCAATCAACGCGCATCGTACAATCACAATCACAAACACAAAAGCAACAGTAACAACTACAACAAGCACAATCAGCGTCAACGTCAGCACAAGCGACCGCGTCGCTATTGCTCGGCGCGCGATCCCGCTCAGCTGGCATTCGAAGCGCCCATTGTTTTCGAGGGCAAAATCACATCGATGTCACCCGATCGGCGTCACAATTTTGCCGCCACGGTACAGGTGTTGAACGCCTACAAGCAACAGATCGGTTATCAGGTGAAGCGCGAACAATTCGTGCGACTGCAGTTTGCATACATTAACAGCAGCGGCGAATGTGATATCTATCGCGAACAGTTACGACCACGCGGTGTGATGCGCGGCGACGAATTGGAACTGCAGCGCACCTATCTATTCTTCGTGCAGCAAATCGATATGCGCAACTTCACCATTCTCGGACAGCCGATAAGGAAGACGCGAAGAGTTGTCGAAGCGGTAAAAGATGCAGTGAGCGAAAATTATGGTGAGTTGAAAGTTTTATATATTTTATGAAAGGGGTACTTCAACGAGGGTCCAAGCAATAATTATGAGCTTAAGTTATTGTGGCAATGAATGTTCAGTCGATTGCTTTAAATGCCGTATCTTATAAATGAATTATTTAGCAAATAATTTTTCTAGCGAGTCTTCTTCCATGAAAAGGCGTGGAAATACGTCAAGTTAGCACGCAATTTATGAATACAAATTCCTAATAAAATTACTTAAGGAAGCATATGTAATCGGTTGTTTTTTTTTTGTACAGCAAACTTCATACAAATTTGGTAGAAAATGTTAAACGAAAATTAAATACCTTCTTCAATAGAATATGTCGGATTGAAATGAAAAATATTAATGGCAAAAATTTACTGCAAAATAAGAAAAAATCTTGAAACTAAATTTTTAAAAAAACATGATTTCAGATTAAAAACTCTAACTTAATGGCGGCTATCAAAAATTTAACTTTTCTACATTTAAAGAGAATTTTTATCGAACTTTTTGGGTCGAAAGCCTGAAATATTTACAATTGAAAACGAAAACATCTCTTTAAAAATCTCGAAAGGTTCCAAAGAAAGTAGTTCAAAAAGTGGAAATTCATTCCCGATAACTTGTGAAAAAAATCATTTGCGCTCAATGGAACCCCAAGAAACACACGGAAAATCCCAAACAGTTCTCAAAAAAATTGCCGAGAAGTACCGGTAAAATTGCAAAATGTCACCGAAGAAGTCCGCCGAAATATCTAGAAGAAAACTCCGAAAAGTCCCCCAAAAAAATTGGAAAATCTGTAGGATAGGTTACGTTAAACGGCAGTCAGTGGCGGGGCTCACATAGACTAAAGCATCTTTGCGATGCCGCGTAGAATTTGCCGTTATCATTGTTCTGCAAAAATTTACAATCAGCCCGATTCTGCGCACTTGATATTTAAATTTTTCATTTTTTTATGATTTGTAATTTTTTGTTTATTATTTATCAAGAATTCGAATGCTAGCACAGAAATCAAAAGATCGTTTCTTGATAAATTACCAAGATTGAAAATGCTTACCAAATGAAATTCCATTGGAAAATCATAAATTTTGTATATTAGAAACAACTTTTTCTATCACTTAAATTTTGCAAGTGGCGGTATTTGAAATATCAATACGCGGAATAATAGTGGACACCTCTACCTGCTCGGCTACGGTAGTCAAAAGCTTTTCCGCTTTTAAATTCACATTTTTCAAATGTGGCAATGAAACCTCATGTTGAAATCGTGGAGCTTTTTATTTTATAAACGTTGTCACAGAATGCGAAGCGAGCTTTTACTTGATAAAAATCTGGATAAAATTTCTTTACAAATAACTTTAATAAAACACGAAATTGGGGGGTAAATTTCAGTGACAATTTGAAAAGGAAGACACTTTGTTTTTTAAAAGAAATAACTGTTCACGCACACTGGTGCCAAATTGGAATTCACTGTTGAGAATTGTTTCGAGCCTACATTGATAAGTTTTTTTTAGGTAAAAGTGTTTAAGATTTTGCTGAGCCAGATTTTTGAATTCTATTTATTTTATTTACATTTTCTTTAGTGCAAAGTGCAGAGGTTTTAAAAATTTTGATGAAAATCGATTCCCCTGTTCCTGTTAATAAATGTTATTTATTAAAAAGTCATTGAACAAAATTAAAAGGCTCCCCCGATTAAAGAAAATCCAAAAAATGTGCAATGTTTGAAAACAAAAAAGAGATTTTAGCAGCGTCAGCAAAGAAAAATATTAATAATCAACGCAAATTTTATAAGCCACTTGAAAGTTGCATTTTAGTATAGTAAAAATTATTGGGCTGTTAACCTGCATACCTAAAATTTTATTAAAAATTAAAAAAATATATATATTTTGGTAAATTTTGTTTATAATATCTAAATCGTTAATTTAATTTGTAATTTTTTGTATTGGTTTGGGGGAACTCTATAATTATGTTCAACTAGTTTTTATTATGTGATATTCATAAACAGGAGTAGGAGAAACGGCGTTCTTCAAAATTTCTAAAACCTCTGTACTTGGCACTAAAAAATAGTATATTAAATAATGAAAACTCGAATATCTGTAGCTCGTTTCTGTAACAATTCTTTACCACGGCGAATCCATATATGAATTCGCCGCCGTTTTCTCTACTGCTAATGAGTAGTACGAGTATGACGTATATTCTCTACCAGTAGAGAAATAATCGGTAGAGAAGAGTTACAGAAACGAGCTACTGGTTCGACAAATTTCTTCTAAATTTCAAAATTTTTTATCTAAAAAAAATTAATGGACATGGTTGGAAAATGAAGGCTCTGTATTGTTTTTAACATTAAATTCCATTTTGGCCCCACTGTGCAGCGGCAGAAAATAAGTTTGATAGTCTCGTGAGTACAGTTCAAGGAGAAAAATTTTATGGAAGTTCCTTTTTTTCTGCAAAGAGATTGAGTAGTTTCGATTAAAAATTTAGCTTTTCTTAATACCAAATATAAATATTTGATGTTGCCTCTTTTCATGATTTTTGCCGTTTTATTAATTAAGTGATTATAATTCATTTATATACATAATATATGTATATATGTAGTATATAAAATTAGCAGCGTAAAATATTATATTTTGGATAGAATTTAGGAGCAGCTTAAAGAAACGCAAAGGCCTGCTGTGAACAAGAAAACCGCTTGCCCCATTGACAATAAGAAACACATGAGAACTCGTACAAAAATTACATGTATTTTGTAATCGATTCTGAGTGGTGAGAATGTGATGGAACATGTGTCATATAACAAATCCAATTCACAAAAGCTGAAGCTGCTTTTTTGATTTTGTTTCAAACATTATTGCGCATTTAATCCTACAAGAAATTCACTTTTTAGCCGCTTAAAACTTGAACTTGTTTTACTAGAATTACATAACCGATCTACTTCCTGCATACCCAAAATCTTTCTAAAAATTCAGATTAAAAAGTGCAAAATTTGGATGAAAGTATAAACCATAATTTTATAAAAAATATTAACTTGAAAAACATTGCAAATATTTAATAAAAACACCATGCACTCACTTTTGATCGCCAGTGTATATAGAGAAAGGTTTTATGAGTTAAAACTCGAACGAAAAAGTACTCAATCAAAAATGTTTCATATTATGAAAGCATTTAAATGTTCTTTCCGGCTTTTTTTAAAAGAAACATTTCTCAAATAAATGTCTATTTTTCCTATTTTTCGGGTTTCACCTATTATATAGTAGCTTTAACTTTTTGATGGCTCCCTCGCTGCCTTACTTTATTAAGGATGGTTGGGCAGTCCCCGCTGAACCCACCAGGGCTAGAAAAAAACTGTTGAAGTGTCGAAAAATGGTAAATTTCAAAAAAAAAATTTAATATAATTTAGACGTAGTGAAGAAAAAGACAATGTATTAATGAAAATCCAATTCTGATCTGATAGATTCTACCTCATTTCGAGGAGTTCTGATTAGAAGTGCCCGAAAAATCAAAAAGCACTATGGCCACTACTGCGTCCAAATTCTATTTTTTAACTTTTCTTGTGAAAGTTGCCATTTTTCGACATTTCAACTTTTTTTTTCTGAAAAACTCAGCATCAAAAAATCTATAAGATGAGGTCGGCCCCTTTTTTTAAATAAAACAACACCAGATTCTGTTGAACCGTGTAATCGTTACCTCCGCCGAAAAAAAAATGACTGAACAGCAAAAGTACGACGCCAGCGACATAAAAAACGACGTATTATCTCATACATATGTAACTTGAATTTTCTATATGGTGGCAATAAATCACTTCCAATGACAGCCTCACGTTAAAATGGCCGGTCGTTTTCGTACATAAGAACCGGTCGGTAAGTGTTTACTTTTTGACCGGTAGGTGAAAGGCACGTCAATTACCGGTACTTTCGCCTGCACTGAAGTAAAGTCGGACCAAGAGTTTGGTGTGGGAAATAATTTAGCCTAAATTAGTTAAAGTTTTGGCAAATTTATCGAGTGTTTTTACCAATTGCAATTTTCGTTTATTTCTCTGCTATATGAGCCCTTTCTTCAAACTTCCAATCGTAATCGTTGCATCTGCTAATTTATATACATACAACATACGTATGTACATACTTTTGTGCTCGTACCTATCATTTTCTACTGTATTTGAGAGAAGTTTTTAAATTAAAATTTTCAAGTTACAAAACCACTACTTATAAATACCATATCAACATGTATACATAGTATGTATTACATACACATGTGCATGATGAATACACAGCGCTCTTGATATATTTCTTACTACATATTTGCTGCCGCTTCTTCATTTAATTGTACATTTGTTTTAGTGCTGCTATTTCCCACTTGTTGTTGTTGCAGTTTTCATTACTTTTTGTTGTCAACTTCACGCTCTGCTAATATCCACTAGACCGAAATAATTTATTCAACACACCCGTAAATGAAACGCACACACATACATGCATATAGACAGTAAGCCAAGCAGCTTTACTATGCATGTGTGGCATAAAAATTGCATTTTAGTGTGTGTGCGCATGTGAGGCGCATAAGCGCAACGTGAAAGGGCAACTTTTTCAAATCAAATTCAACGGCGGAAGCCAACACAAACTGTGTTACTTGCAATAAAACCAACAATAACAACAATAACATGAACACAATTACAAACAATCAGAAACTACATAAAACGTCATAGTATTTACATAGTAGCAGCGGCAGCAGCACTGGCAGCTAAGGTGGCAACAGCAACTATAGCAAAAACAAAGCAATGCGAGTTTTCATAATAATGATTAAATTTTTTCTTTCTACAGTTGCAATTCATTGCTGCAATTTGTGGCCGCCACCGCCACCAACACTTGCACCACTACTGCAGCTCATCAACAAGCCGAAGACATCATTGTTGCAGCAATGCTTCCGTTTATTGCAGTTGCCGCATTTGTACGCAAAAAAAAACAATACAAAAATCGCGCACATTTCGCTTGCAAGTGCTTGCAAAGCAGCGTGCCG